ATGACCTTTTTCCTTCATTTTATCGATTTTCTACGAAGTTTTGATATTTAAGTTCAGGACATCCCGCGTTTGTGTGTATATGTATATTTATACATACATATGTATGTACTTCCCGAGTTCTTCTGCTAAGAACAGTCTTAAGAATAATATATTTTTTTAACATTACGTCCGTAACATTTCCCTTAAAAAGTAATTCTGGCAGAGAAACTGGAAAGTACTGTTTATCCACGTTAATACGATAGGCAGTGCGTTGATGATAGCACTTCGATTCAGTCATTTGCATCTATGGTGACTCCGGCGTCGTCTTTGTGCACGAGAGATCTGTCATGGTTCAACCTCAATGTTACAGGGAATAATCCAGCAGACATTAGATGAAGAAATACTGCCTGCAAGAGCAAGAAACACGAAATGGTCAAGTTAGAATAACCACGCTGCTACCATTTTAGACAGTGAATAAACTTACATGTTCTCAGCACGAACAACTGCCTTCAATGGATCTCTGTCAAGATTAGCATCCGGAGTCGTTGTCACTGTGTATTCGAGGGTCGGTCCACCAGCGTGTGGTAGGATGCTCTCAGGATTATCGTCGGGAGGGATGATCTCCACGACTCCTGTAGCCTCCACCTCGAGCTTCAAATCGCGAACAAGATCCTGAATGGTCTTCGCTTGCGAGCCTTTGTCACCAACTTCCTCCACGGTCTTCACCCTGTTCATAGATCTTTCAGACCTTCCCCTCGTGTGCGTGTGCATGTGCCTCTTCATGTCGCTTCGCACTCTGAATGGCTTTCCACAGACAGCGCACTGGTGCGGTTTCTCACCGGTGTGTATGCGACGATGGTTCTGCAAGTAACTGCTCGCCCTGAACGTTTTGTTGCAGTACTCGCAGCGGTAATTCTTTTCGCCAGTGTGGATTCTCCTGTGAACGATCAGTGAGTACTTGCGCGCGAAGTCTTTGCCGCAATACTCGCACTGGTACTGTTTCTGTTCCGAATGGATGCTGGTCGAGTGGTATTTCAGATCCCCGCACTGACGGAAGTGACGGCCGCATTCCTCGCACTTGTACGGCTTGTCACCGCTGTGGAGGCGCTTGTGGACCTACATTTAGGAAAAATTTCGTTCAGAAGACTTGGTAATTCCACTTTTTTTTTTTTTTTTTTTTTTT